GTGCGCGGCGACCGGAGTTTTGCGGGCTTGGAGTTTTGCGGGCTTGCTGCTTGGGGTTGGCTGCTGTCAAAAAGAAAAGAAAAGATGGTTGTTGGCTGTCAACGTGATCAATGACGAAAGTTATATCGGATGAATTCACTTTCGGAATGTAGTGAAAAATCGTATTTCTAAGTTTCAAAACTTAGGAAAGAAAATCATGCTTAGTTTCAAAAACTTAGGAAAATTCCATGTATAAAGGTATTGGGTGGAAATTTACCTACGTTAAATTTCATTAAAAAAAGACTGATCATTTCTGACATGTGTAAAGATGAGAAAATGCGGAAGCTACAGTAGTTGTGACTACACCCAATAGATGAACTATTCGCAAAAAATAGACTTATAAAAATTATTTTTCACTAAGTTCTAAAAGTGGGTCATATGTTACCCCAGTTTTTTTAAATGCATATACTAGATTAATGACAGACATGTAAGCTCTACGGCCCACGGTGTAGTCGTAATATATCATTCATAATCTTTGCAAGTGTGTTTAGCATCGAGCTTTTTTGTATAATTGTGGTATGCTAAATTGTTCTGAGAAGTCGAGTAATTAGTTGTTCAATTATCTCGTAATCAATTTAATGTAGATATTCTTTGTTGAAGAACACATGTGACGAAACGTGAGAGAACGAACTATTATTGGTTCAACTTGTTTATATCTACCTTGTTTATGAAGAGATCAACACAGTTGTCTAAATTATTAGTGCAAAGCTGAAAAAGTAAAGTACACTAAACAACACTCTTAAAAAATTCTGTCTGAACCTCGGTGTAACTTTGTGTTGCAAAGCTAGGTTCGAGCAACAGGTGTGTAGATGTAACGTGGGTCCGGAAACTCAACAAGAGACTTATCGAGACCCCTTCCTCGTTCCCTCCACCCCTTCTCTCACCATCCCCCGCCTTCATTGGCGGTGAGTGCTACTTCTTGAGTTTGCGTTGTTTTTTTCCTTAAAAAAGAAAGGGTGATGCAGCACAATAGAGATAAGTATTTCTCTCGGTTAAGAACCAAGGTATCAATCCAGTAGGAGAAGAACGCGCGAATCACCAATACCTGTACAAAGAATCAAACACTTGCACCCAACGCGTTAGTCAATCCCTTCACGGTCACTTGCAAATGTGAGATCTGATAGAGATAGATAAATAAAAGATCAAATATTTTTAGGTTTTTTGGTTTATAGATCTGAAAATAAAAGATTGTAAAATATTATATCGAAAACTAATATGATGGAAAATAGACCTGGGGACCATAGGTTTCACAAGAGGATTCTCTCATGAAGGTAAATAATATGATGTGTGAACAAATTATTGTCGAACAATTGATAGAAAAGCGCAAAGTTAGGACGATATCCAAGGCAATGATTATGCAATCACGTCCGTGTCAAGTAGACCGACTCCTGCTTGCATCTACTACTATTACTCCACACATCAACCGCTATCCAGCATGCATCTAGAGTATTAAGTTCATAAAGAACGGAGTAACGCCTTAAGTAAGATGACATGATGTAGAGGAATAAACTCATGCAATATGATATAAACCCCATCTTTTTATCCTCGATGGCAACAATTCAATACGTGTCTCGCTACCCTTACTTTGTCACTAGGTGAAATCACGCAAGATGGAACCCAAAGCTAAGCACATCTCCTTGCAAGAAAAACCAATCTAGTTGGCCAAACCAAATCGATAATTCGAAGAGAAATACAAAGATATCAAATCATGCATAAAGAATTCAGAGAAGATTCAAATAATATTCATAGATAAGCTGATCATAAATCCACAATTCATCGAATCTTGACAAACACACTGCAAAAGAATATTACATCAGATAGATCTCCAAGAACATCGAGGAGAACATGGTATTGAGAATCAAAGAGAGAGAAGAAGCCATCTAGCTACTAGCTATGGACCCGTAGGTCTGATGTAAACTACTCACGTTTCATCGGAAGGGCGGTAGGGTTGATGTAGATGCCCTCCGTGATCGAATCCCCCTCCGGTAGGATGCCGGAAAAGGCCCCAAGATGGGATCTCAGGGGAACAGAAGGTTGCAGCGGTGGAAAAGTGTTTTCGTGGATGCTCCTGGTGGTTCTGGAATATATGTGAATATATAGGGCAAATGGCTAGGTCAGAGGTGTCCCGAGGAGGTGACAAGGTAGGGGCGCCCCCCCCTGTCGGGGAACGTAACATGCAATTTCAGAATTTTTCTACGATCACGCAAGATCTATCTAGGAGATGCATAGCAACGAGAGGGGGAGAGTGTGTCCACGTACCCTCGTAGACCGAAAGAGGAAGCGTTAGGTTAATGCGGTTGATGTAGTCGAACGTCTTCATGATCCAACCGATCTTAGTACCGAACATACGGCACCTCTGAGTTCAGCACACATTCAGCTCGATGACATCCCTTGAACTCTTGATCCATCTGAGGGGCGAGGGAGAGTTCCGTCAGCATGACGGCGTGGTGACGGTGATGGTGATGTGATCCGTGCAGGGCTTCGCCTAAGCACTACGACGCTATGACCGGAGGAATAAACGGTGAAGGGGGTACCGCACACGGCTAAGAGAACTATTGGTCTTCCTTTGGGGTGCCCCCGCCCCCGTATATAAAGGAGGGGAGGAGGAGGCGGCCGGCCGGCCGGGAGGGGGTGCGCCAAGGGGGAGTCCTACTAGGACTCCTAGTCCTAGTAGGATTCGCCCCCCTTTCCTTTCTTCACCGGAGGGAAAAGGAAGGAGAGGGAGAGGGAGAGGGAAAGGGGGGCCGCGCCCCTCCTCCTTGTCCTATTCGG